GCCGGGGGAAGCTCACTCACCGCCTCCTTGATGATGCGGGTGATGACCGCGTTGGGAAGGTTCAGGTCCTCCGGCCTCTCCGCCATTTCTTCCGCCCGCTGCGAAAGCCTCAACCGCCGGTGGCGGACAACAGGTGGCCGCCGCCGCTCGAGCCCCGCGCTAAGCTAACCAACCGTCTGCCGTCCGGAGACCGCGAAACTGCGGCTCGCTCGCTCGCGCACTCAGCTAGCGTCCGTTAACAGCACGAGCGCAGAAGGGGAACGTTGCTCCACGAGCGTCACGCGCCTTCGAATCCACTTCAGAACGTGAGCCCCGCCGCCCGCGTGCCCATCTGTGCCGATTTGTTTTGGGACGTTTCCCGCGAACCTTCCAACTACCACGAGCCCCACGACGTCAGCGACAAACCCTGACCTCCGACGTAGCCGTGACGTACTTCCGTCTATCCAACCGAAGTATAGTTTAATGTGAATTAAATTAAGTCGATTATCGAGTCAACAAAATACAAACAAATACAAATATTTATAACAGAAATTATAATATAAATAATTATATTTTTGTCAATCTTTTTTTTAGAATTCATTTTACGTTTTTTGTTACTTTTTCACGCATGTTAAGTCACTGATAATATTTTTTCTGATTGTTATAGTTAAAATTAAATGAATGAGGTCATTATATAAATTGAATTTATCTTCTGATTAATTAATGAAAACCTTTTAGAAATTGGAAATTGCTGAAATGTGTTTTTTAAACAAGACCTTGAAAATAATAAAGCTTACCAATAATTTAGAGAAGAATTTTGCCAAGCATCATCACATGGATTTTAGTCCTCATAAAAACCCATTTAGAGTAAGATTTTATGTGAAGGAATTTGATAACAGAATTCAATCTGTCTTAGGTTAACTTTAACATCTTCATATCCTTTAATATTCTAAAAAAATAATTTTCTTGCATTAATCAATGAAGCTTTTATTTATTTATTTTTGGAACAAAGATTTCAATAATTTGACACTCAACTTCAAATGAGTATTTAAATAAAAAAGGCCAAAATCAAAAAACAGAAACATAAAAAAAAAACAGAATCAGAATTGGGTTTATTGGAGACGGTTCCTAAAGAGTCACAGTGTCTTCCCGCAAATATTCAGACACTACTCTGAACCCTGAGCATCATTTGATCTACTCCCTCTGAACAGGGAAACCTTCCCGGTGGAGGCACAGGAAGAGGGGTGGCCGCCATCTGAAAATTAGGATGACAGATCAGTGCTCGACCCAGGATGTGTTTCAGCTCTTTGAGTTTCTGGCTCAGTCGATCTTCCTCATAGTCTAAATCAGAAACAGCTCCTCAGCTTTTTGCTTTCTTTAACAGTTTGGGTGACTTTAACGTCTGAACATGAACTTTGACTCTACACTAGACTCAAAAGCCCACAGTCCTGCCACTCTGAGCCAGGCGGTTGACTTCTTGAGAAGCTTTGGCTGGACATCGTTTGACCCCACAGCATCGGGGAACAAAGCTTTTACTTCAGGCGTCTATCAGAAAATGAAGTAACCTGAATTCCAGAGTCATTTTCAGCGCTAAAGACAGCACTCCAGTTTCAGAGTGCACAACATTGGACCATGTCGACCCTCAGTCTGACAGGAGGATCCTCATATAATCCTCATGTACATAAAAAAACCTGGAGGCTGGAAGGAATATGGTGTTCTTCTCATTTACAAGAGTCTCTATTAGTTTGGAAAGATAGTTTAATAGAATAAAACCCTCCATAAAGTCAGACCTGCTCATTCTTCATCACAGATAGAAGAGAATAAGAACCGTCCCAGACTGTGTCCAGACTGACAGAGTCCAGGCTCTGCTCCATCTCAGCCCTGATGATTTAAGGAGCTTCTCCACCAGCAGAACTGCTGAGGATTTGTGGATCCTCAAGAGCCTGACTCATACTTACTGTTTCTGGAGCAGCTCCGTCTGAGGGGGAATGCTCCAGCGTCAGTTAAAGCTCCAGCAGAGTTTCCACAGACTGAGTCTGAGCAGCAAGAATAAGTCTAAATGCTTTAGACATTATACAATAAATATGTGGGAGATTTGATATGTAATATGTCATCTAGTTTCAAAAACAGAAGTAGCTCCTGGTCTTTTTTTAAGTCGATTTGGATAAAAGCGTTGGCTAAATGCATCAATGTAAATGTCCTTTGCAAAAGAAAGCTAATTTCAGATGATCCTCTATATTTACATAAAATTTGTGATCATTTATTTTATTTTATGTAAATGTTGCATGTTCTGCACCACAACCCAGTCAAAGTTCTTGTATGTAAAAAATACTTGGTCAATAAACCTGATTTGGATTCTGAAGTCCTTTAAACCCCTTTACAGGTGTCTTGCCAGTTTATGTATTATTCACTGATGTTTTGACGTTTTCCATTTAACTCAAAACATCTTATTTATCTTTATGGAATAAATAAATAAGACAGGTTTTATGTGTGGTTTGGGGTCTCTTTTCAGGGTCTCTAATAAAGATGGTAACGGGCACCGTGAGGGTACCGGCTCTCTGCGTGTGCAGAAGTCCGTGGAACCCTCCGGGTTCGGGCTCGGTTCTGGTTCTGGCTCGGTTCTGCTGCGGTTTTCCGTGGACCCGGTCCACGGACCTGGTTCTGCCCACCGCCGGGATTCTTCAGGAAGCGTAAAGTTGTTTGCGCTTGCAGCACTACTTTTGTACACATCCGACAATTACCGGCACGCGCCGACGGGGCCGTTTCCCCCAACGTGCGTGTCTCCTAAAAACAAAGAAAAGTCGACGACAGCGCCCACTTCTCAAATTTCACGCTACTCCCTCGCGTGCCGTGTCTCGTTCGGCCCCGATGGCCGGAACGGGTGGCGTATTAGTTGGATCTACTTTATCTCGAACGGCTGTGCTGCGGCTCTCTCTGCCTCTCGCCTGAGCCCGGCCGCCATCTTGAATTTTAATGTTAATTTCTAAAAAAAAAAAAAAAAGATGTGTTTGCTGTGATATATTCGTTTAGGGAGTCGTGACAAACTTGGATGAGTTCGGAGGAGTGCCGATCGGTTTCGTGGTTCTTTGGACCGTTAAACTCGTGAGTACACGGTGTCTGCGTGTGCGTGTGTGTGTACTGTGGACTCGGGACATTTAACGGCTGAAAAGCTCTCAGCGTGCTGTTTACCTGCTAACAGCCATCATGATAAATAATACCGCCCGCACAGGGCCGGTCATTATTCTCTGCCTCCGCTAGCCTCTTCGGATTCTTTTAACGTGGATGCTAGCAGGGTTTCTGTCGTTTAACCCGCTTGGAAACTGGAGTTTTAGCCCCCTGGAGCCGACTGGAGCTAATGCGGTGTGTGGTCCCTGCGTTAGCCGCCGTTCGGTGCGGGGTCGCCGGGTCTGAGGTCGCCGCCGACCCGTGGTGTTTGCGGCGGACCGTCGGCCCCGATATGAAGCGTTCAGGGGATGATCTGCGGACCCCTTGACGGCGGAAAGCGGGTTACAACGGCCACTTTCTGGGGGAGAAGCTAGGTTAGCGTCCTGCCTAAGTTTGATGCTCCCAGCTAACGTGAAACTATATTAATTTTCAGTGTTTTAGCTCGCATTCGTGGTGGAAATGAGACGTTAAGTCGTTTATTTTATTGTTAGTCGGTAGTTTTGGTGACTGTTGTGAGCTGCGTTTGGTGCAACTTGGCAAAGCGGTTGGTGTGATGTGCTGTCAGTCAGTCGTCAAATGGCTCCGTCGTCTCCATCCTGTCTGAGCTGCTCGGCTGTGTTTGCGGGGCCGGCTTGTTTGGACCCTCCGCGGTCTGTGGCCGGCATCTGCAGCCAGCTAACAGACACTCTCCTCCCGTTAGCCTAGCTTCGTGCTAACGTAGCCAATGGGTGGAGTTCAGAAGTTGGTTTGTGATTCAAAGTCTAAGCGGAAATACAGATATTACAGTATTATTCTAGCATATTACTACATACAGTAATGTGTATAAACAGACGACTTCAACTTGTCATATTGGTACTGGAGCAATTTATCGAGATAATTGGTTCTTTAAAATGCAGTTTATTGTTTGCTAAACTTTTATTTAGTTCCTGAAAGTGCGGAGAAATGTAGTTGCTCTTGGCTATTGGCCCACTGTGGACTTAATGTTAATATTCTATAGTGTAAATCGCCCTTTAAAATACGATAGAATAGATTTGAAAATGAGCCGTTTCCGCTTTTCTCCATTTGTTTAGTCCTGAGTATTGTGTCGGTCTCGGCTTAAGGTGGTCCACAGAGTTAGGTGACAGTTAAAGGGCCTTCGCCGCGCCTCCACCTTAACTGTCGAGTGGAAGCTGCGAATCACAGACCGACTTCTGGTCGCGTGCAACGGCAGTCGTTAGCAAACAATGCGAGCTAACAGTGCAGCCGTGGAGCCGCGGTGTCGGCCTCAAACATCGGCGTGGCCTTCCGGGTTTCCACGGCTTTATCTCTATCCCATCGGAATGCTGTCTGATTGGTGCTAACGTTAGCCTGGTGGCTAATAGCGAGAAGCAGTTGATCCCCAAAATGACCCCGTTCGCCGCGCGGCACTGTGGCTCGTGACAAGAGTTTAAACTCTGTAACCAGATGTGGGACTGATGTGATCACGTGAGGTAACGCAGTCGTGTTTTGCGGGTTTTGATGACAGCGAAGGGTCCAGTGGCACCTGACTGTGAGCCGCCGCGGTGCTTCCGGTGGCCTCTGGGGGGCGCTGTGGGCCCGCAGAGACCGGTTAAAGCACCGGGGGTAAACAGCGGCTGCAGCCGGGGGTCCCGCCCCCGACGCTGGCGTCCGTGGCCCCCACAAACCGGCTCACCAGCCCGGTTTTGCTCTGGGACTTATCCACCTATTCTGACGGGTTGTTGTTTAAAGGCTCAAACTAGAGTTTTCTTCGTTTTTAAAAGCTGTTTTTTTCAGTTAGAAATCCATGCAGTATGTTTTTTGTTGTTCCAAGTTTAGGTAATATAATTGTAATAATTACTGCAGTTTAAACCCAAAACGATTTAATTATCTCTGTGGGTCTTTGCTCCATTTATTTACAAAGTTATGATACTTTAGGTCCACTGCTTCCTCCCTTGTTTTGCTCACACTAACTTTTTAGAGTGCGCGTTACTCACCGGGTATAAAGTTCAGCCTCCCTGCTGATGTCTGTCTAAAGACCAGCATATCATTTGCTTTAGCAATGAGTGAAAACCAGGTCAGCAGAATATAACAGTTGGTTTAATTCTAAGGGGCTTAATGTGAATATTTTGCGGGATGAGCTTTTAAGTTTTTAGCTCTTTGGGAATCCTCAGAACTCCAGTGACCGGCTGCTGCTGACAAAGAGCCTAAAGATCCACTTTAAGCTGCTGCTCTGCTGATTGGACACAACACTGGCTCAGCCCTTGAGTTAGGGGCTTGTTTCTTTTCTATATGGACACAACACTGGCTCAGCCCCTGAGTTAGGAGCTTGTTTCTTTTCTATATGGACACAAAACTGGCTCAGCCCTTGAGTTAGGGGCCTGTTTTCTGACTCAAGTGGCTTAAAAAAAGATGAAGGCTGGACTTAAAATGATTGAAAAAGTAGAAAATGTCTTTACGAAAACCCTGAAACTCCTCAGAAATCCTGGATCAGTGTCACTAAAGAACACTTTAAAGGACGTCTGGCTCATCGTCCTGTCTCTGCTCTTCCCCCCGTAGCTTTCAAACTCCAGATCCCTGTCTTCCCCACTCAAGAGTATCTCTTCATCTCGGAGACTAAATGCAACTGGACCCGGGGGCTGGCGGGCATGAAGTGGCTGGGCGAATCCAAGAACATGGTATTAAATGGCAGACGGCACGGCAGCAAGTTGACCAGCGAGCAGCCGGCGGGCCAGACGCGCTCCTCGCTGCGCCACAGCAAAAGCCACCCGAGGAGCCGCCGATGTAGCCGCAGTGAGTGGCCGGCGCCCCCCCCCCCCCCATTGCTCCGGTTAACAGAACCCCAATCAGGGCCCCTGACGACTCACAGCGTCATTTAGAGGTTTAAGACTTGAGCTTAAGGAGCTTGATGAGCATCCTCATATCATTCCTGATCGTATCATTGCTCACAGTAACTGTACCATCATCAGACCGCTTCACCTCATCCTCGTTCATCTTCTTTCTTTAGTTCAAGGGTCCTTTTCTGTGTTTTTAACCTATTATGGAATTTCCGGACTGATATTCCACCTACCTACCCACCCACCCAGGAGCTTCCTCACCAATCTCCTTCTCCACCACCTGTCAGTATTAATGGGAGGCGCCACCATGTGGGTGCTGGAAGGAACTACGCTATAAATTCAAACTGTAGCCGGCTTTTATGAAAGAACCTGTTCAGAGCCGGTGTATCGCTAACGTCCACACACAAACGATGGCCACGGATAGATAGAAATACAGATCAGTCCAATGAGACTGAGATACAACATTACAGTAGATAAAAGAATAGAATAAGATAAAAAATATATGTAAGAATACAGAACAGTACAATGCAACATTATGTCAGAAAATGTGCTGTGTGGAGCTGTATTGATAAAATGGAACACATTATGAGGTGGTATTATGTAACTAAAATCTGAGTATTGATAGTTGGGCACACGCCTATAAAACTGCCACCAGCGCCCGGCCTCTGACCTCTGACCTCGGCCTCTGACCCCGGCCTCTGACCTGGCCACCTGGTCTCTGACCCCGGCCTCTGATCCTCTGACCCTGGACTCTGAC